AAAAAAAAAAAAAAAAAAAAAAAAAAAAAAAAAAGACATCTTTAAATAAGTTGTAGGTTTCTTTAACGGGTGAACGTCCAATGAAAAGAGGTGGGCCCAAAAACTACAGTTTTTATAAATCTGGATTTTTATAAGAGAACTTTTTTTTTTTTTTTTACATTTTAATTGTTACTTTAGCGAAGTGGTTTTGACAGGGCCCTATTTTACATATGCCCTGATAACGCATTGGAAGCGGTTTTGACAGGGCCCTATTTCACATATGCCCTGAAAACGCATTGAAAGCGGTTTTGACAGGGCCCTATTTTACATATGACCTGATAACGCATTGGAAGTGGTTTTGACAGGGCCCTATTTTACATATGCCCTGATAACGCATTGGAAGCGGGTTTGACAGGGCCCTATTTTACATATGACCTGATAACGCATTGGAAGTGGTTTTGACAGGGCCCTATTTTACATATGCCCTGATAACGCATTGGAAGTGGTTTTGACAGGGCCCTATTTTACATATGCCCTGATAACGCATTGGAAGTGGTTTTGACAGGGCCCTATTTTACATATGACCTGATAACGCATTGGAAGTTGTTTTGACAGGGCCCTATTTTACATATGACCTGATAACGCATTGGAAGTTGTTTTGACAGGGCCCTATTTTACATATGCCCTGATAACGCATTGGAAGTTGTTTTGACAGGGCCCTATTTTACATATGCCCTGATAACGCCTTGGAAGTTGTTTTGGTTTTTTGTGTTCCCCGAACATACTTAGACTTAATGTTTTGTCACAATTTAGAATTAAGAGACGTCTCTCATTATGTTGTGTTATTATTTGAATTAGAATATTTTTTACAATATGTGAAAGTGAAATTAAAACAAAGATCTAACTATGAAGGTTATATTCTCTGTCACGTTATCGATGTTTTAAATCAAGACAAGAATACGAGTATTTCCGTTTACGCATAGAAATTATAACGTTATCGAGACAGAATATATTAAGCATTTAAAACCCAAAAAATAATCATAATTAAACAAAATAAATCCTTTAAAATAAATAAGATCAAATCCTTTCGACCAGATGTGACGCAGCAAAAATAAAACCAAAAAAAAAACACAATATCAACACCAAGCACTGGTACGTGTTTAATGTGACGCAGCAAAAAACAACAACAAAAAAACACAATAATCTACATCCAGCACGGTTATGTGTTTCATGTCACCACTGTTCACAAAAGCTGCAATGGGTACAAGGTATACTTCCGCTGCAATGGGTACAAGGTATACTTCCGCTGCAATGGGTACAAGGTATACTTCCGTGTTTCATGTCACCACTGTTCACAAAAGCTGCAATGGGTACAAGGTATACTTCCGTGTTTCATGTCACCACTGTTCACAAAAGCTGCAATGGGTACAAGGTATACTTCCGTGTTTCATGTCACCACTGTTCACAAAAGCTGCAATGGGTACAAGGTATACTTCCGTGTTTCATGTCACCACTGTTCACAAAAGCTGCAATGGGTACAAGGTATACTTCCGTGTTTCATGTGACCACTGTTCACAAAAGACCACTGTTCACAAAAGCTGCAATGGGTACAAGGTATACTTCCGTGTTTCATGTCACCACTGTTCACAAAAGCTGCAATGGGTACAAGGTATACTTCCGTGTTTCATGTGACCACTGTTCACAAAAGCTGCAATGGGTACAAGGTATACTTCCGTGTTTCATGTGACCACTGTTCACAAAAGCTGCAATGGGTACAAGGTATACTTCCGTGTTTCATGTCACCACTGTTCACAAAAGCTGCAATGGGTACAAGGTATACTTCCGTGTTTCATGTGACCACTGTTCACAAAAGCTGCAATGGGTACAAGGTATACTTCCGTGTTTCATGTGACCACTGTTCACAAAAGCTGCAATGGGTACAAGGTATACTTCCGTTACAGTCCATGCCTTACTTATTCCTTTTTACAAATCTGAAACGGACATAATCCATGGGACATAAATAACTTGACGTACTTGAAAGACCCCAGCTGTCAAACATTAATTGGCACTGTTACACTCCTGTGGTTAAAAATGTCCAAGTGTCCGTCAAATGTCGACTACCGTTACTTGCCACGATACCTCAAACTCAATCTCCTCAAAATCTTCCCCCCGAGTTTCTCACTACCACACTCACTTGGCTCATTCATGGTCAACATTGTGGCCCGTTAGTTTGCACGCCGATTGTTGGCGTCCTAGCATGTCCTTCATGACGGACGCAAGCGTGGAATGTAAATAGCACATTAAAGAAAAAAACATTTATAATAATAATACAATTAAAATACTATTAGTCTCTATATAAATGTGTCCGGTTCAAACTTGGCGCATCATGACGAAAGCAGAGCACGCGAACTTGGTTCTTGTTTTTAACGTTTCGTTTTGCCGTACTCAAAAGTGAGCAAATGGTAAAAGAGAAATTATGTTCATATTGAGCAAGACAGTCTGTGTTCAAATGTGTTCGCCTTCGTTGTGGACGGCTGACAATCGTCCGAGCACGAGAGAATGTTCATCTACATTCCTAACTTAAAGGGCTTATTTACATCTTTTCTAAACTAAAAAAATAAAAAATATATTAAAAAGTTGTTTTTTTTTAAAAATATTTGAAGAAGAATTGCACCAATACGAATGACACGAATGACACAAATGACACGAGTGACACATATGACACGAATGACACAAATGACACGAATGACACGAATGACACGAATGACACAAATGACACGAATGACACAAATGACACAAATGACACGAATGACACGAATGACACAAATGACACAAATGACACAAATGACACGAATGACACAAATGACACGAATGACGCATAAGTTTCTTCAATCTTTTTTGGATTTTCTTGAGCTCTGTTTTCTGCCACAGATTTTCCTACCCAGCCTAAAGCAGCAGCGGAGTAATCCAAACACAACAAGAAGGGCTAGCAGGCAGGACAACGAAACGACACCCAGCACATCCAGCATCAGAAACTGGTACATTGGCATCAGCTGCCCGGCGGACCTCATGTAGGTGCCGCCATATTCCATCACGTGGTCTATCCACAAGGCCGCGGACTCCGCCGGAACTTTGTAGAGCAGTCGAAATAACTCGGAGGCCTTCTTCACGTTGGACCTGAAGGTTTCGTTTTGGGTGATCTTCCGCATCAAATCGGCGAGCTCCTTGTCCGTGAGGTCCATGATGCTTCCAGTGAGGCCGAAGCCTTTTGATTTAGAGCGTTGGGCGTTGTAGAATTGGTCGCCCACCAACGGCAGACACAGCATGGGCACCCCGTGGTAGACAGATTCGTACTGGCCGTTGGCGCCACAATGGGAGATGAAAAGCTTCGTGTTGGGATGTCCGAGAATATCATTCTGGGGGACCCATTTCGAAGTTAAAATCTTTACGGGATCAGGTGAAGAGAGGTTTACTCTCCAAACAACGTGTAGATCTTGCTGCAGGAACGCGGACGCCATCTTGTCGGAAACATCCGGTGGGAGGTTGACAACGCTGCTTCCGAAGGTCACGACGGCAACGCCTCGAGGGGCGGAGTCGACGAACGACTTGAACGGTTCTTTCAGGGGTTTGGCTGGTATCGGGGCGGTGCACCCGATCAGCTTCATGCTCGGGAGCTCCGGCTTGGCGAAGTCCAGCACGTGATCGCTCTCCACGATGTAGAGCTCCGCCTTCATCTGTATCGCCTCGACCGAGATCTGGGGTCTCTGCGGGGCGAACTCCGAGACCATGCTGTCGTCCAGAACCAACTGGTCCATGATCAAGATCATGACGTTGCACACCGCCGTTTTCAAGCGGTCCACGAGCGTCATGCCTTCGTTGCTGAAGGAGGCCGAAATAGGGCATGCAGTGGCGGATGGGCTGAACGGAACGCGCTGGGACGGGAGGTCATTGAACGGACTCATGTACACGAAGGGCACATCCAGTTTGTAAGGCAGGATGACGAAATTTTTGAAAGGCGGGAAGTTCGTGATGACGAATAAATCCGGTTCGAGGGATCTCAGCCTGGATTCGAGGGCTTCGTCCCCGAGGATTTTGCGGACCATCTCCTTCATGGCTTGGAAAAAATTTATCATGTGTGACACGCCGACGCTCTCCCGGTTCCAAATCTTCTCGATGGATTTCCCGAAGAACAGCTCCTCGACGTTGCCGAGGTAATCTCCGTACGGCACCACGCTGACGCCGTCCACATTCACCATCTTTTCGTCCAGCATGAACTGGGGTATGCAGACGTACGCCTCGTGCCCCAGTGCGGTCAGCGCGCGGCCCACGTTGGTGTGCGTCCTGACATTTGCCACGTGTGGCACCGAGAACAGGACGACACGCTTCGCTTCAGATGAGCACGCGCTGAGCAGCAGAACCGTGGCGGCCATCATCACGCAAACCTTGGCGTGAAAAGAACGCGGCTTGTCTGTCGCCATCTCTACTCGGCAGTGTCGGTCCTGTGGGTTTAATCTAGAAAAAAAACAACAAAAAAAACACAAAAAAAAACTCAAAAATCGCAAATTTTAAACCGGAAAAGAAATTTAAATAGCGCTTGAACTGTGTTATTTTATCGTGTTACTATATTGTGTTATTATTATGTTTCAACTTATTGCGTGACTTTAATGTATTACTTTTCTCGGGGCTGAAAATTGTATAGAAGGTGTGGTCAGCAGCAAATAGTTTATGTGCCAGGTTTCAGCTCGATATGTTGACGGGAAGTTGGTCAATTAGCCGTACGAAGATTGCGTCCCTAGCAAAGCCAAGAAAAAAAAGTGAAGTTAATATAATGGACTATAAAAAAAAAAAAAATTAGCGACTGGTTAATGTGATCTAAACAAAGGTGATGTTATGCCGTAAAGCTACAAATCTAATGTGTTGTAAATATAGGAGATGTTATGCCGTAAAGCTACAAATCTAATGCGTTCTAAATATAGGAGTCGTTATGCCGTAAAGCTACATATCTAATGCGTTCTATACATTTGAGATGTTATGGCGTAAACCTACAAATCTAATGCGTTGTAAATATAGGAAATGTTATGCCATAAAGCTACAAATCTAATGTGTTGTAAATATAGGAGTCGTTATGCCGTAAAGCTACAAATCTAATGCGTTGTAAACATAGGAGATGTTATGCCGTAAAGCTACAAATCTAATGCGTTCTATACATAGGTGATGTAATGCCGTAGAGCTATATATCCCTCAACCACAGCGTTGGCCACACACACCCAAAGTACCGTAACCAGTGACATCCACTCTATACCCATACAGCTTTCCTTGGTACTCACTTCGGGCTACGCCTCATCCTCTGAATACACCCTCCTCCAACGCCTCATATCTTAACCCCCATCTCATGGTTGCACACTTGCTCTGCCCCCATCTCATGGTTGCACACTTGCTCTGCCCCCATCTCATGGTTGCACACTTGCTCTGCCCCCATCTCATGGTTGCACACTTGCTCTGCCCCCATCTCATGGTTGCACACTTGCTCTGTTCTCAGTGTTCACAGCACGTAACTTAAAGAGGACGACGAACTTTTTTTTTTTAAATCACCCAAGCATAAAAACGGAAATAGCGGAATGTCAGGAAGGGTATATTTGTAGTCCAGGTGTCATGGAGTCTTAAACGTGAGACCCACGTTTGAAACAACGTTGGTCTAGCTGTCATGAGATCTTAACGTGAGACCCACGTTTATACTTATTGTGGTCTAGGTGTCATGAGATCGTAACGTGAGACCCACGTTTATACAAAAGTGGTCTAGGTGTCATGAGATCGTAATGTGAGACCCACGTTTATACAAGAGTGCTCTAGGTGTCATGAGGACGTAATGTGAGACCCACGTTGATATTTTAAAAGTTCCGCTTCGTCAAACTGGAGGGGTGGAAAAAAATAAATCAGAGCGGAGTTAACGCATGAAACGGTACGTTTAGTGACCTGTCAAACTAACAGGTGGGGTATGAAGGTCATTGTGGGGGTACGTTTAGTGACCTGTCAAACTAACAGGTGGGGTATGAAGGTCATTGTGGGGGTACGTTTAGTGACCTGTCAAACTAACAGGTGGGCTATGAAGGTCATCGTGGGGGGTACGTTTAGTGACCTGTCAAACTAACAGGTGGGCTATGAAGGTCATCGTGGGGGGTACGTTTAGTGACCTGTCAAACTAACAGGTGGGCTATGAAGGTCATCGTGGGGGGTACGTTTAGTGACCTGTCAAACTAACAGGTGGGCTATGAAGGGCTCGTGGGGGGTACGTTTAGTGACCTGTCAAACTAACAGGTGGGCTATGAAGGTCATCGTGGGGGGTACGTTTAGCGACCTGTCAAACTAACAGGTGGGGTATGAAGGTCATCGTGGGGGGTACGTTTAGTGACCTGTCAAACTAACAGGTGGGGTATGAAGGTCATCGTGGGGTAACGTTTAGTGACCTGTCAAACTAACAGGTGGGGTATGAAGGGCTCGTAGGGGTCCTCACAATACATTTATGCAAAGGATACTAAATGAAGGACTGGTGCTCAAGCTATGTGAAGGAAATAGGTACGTGGATGCTTGAAGTGTAAAGACAGGACAATAAGACTAATAAAAAGAATAACGTTGCCAGAAAAACGGAAGCAGAAATCTAGGTACAAAGCGAGTGGAAAGTCTTGATTGGGGGGGGGGGGGGGTCATTTACATTCATCAGGCTGTGTTTATTTAAAATACTATATTTATATTTTAAGTTGTTACTTAATAGTAATTTTGATTATTATGTATCTATTTATAAGAACTTCTATGTTATTCATAAATATATTATTGTTTGGGAGTACCAGTGTCCCCTATTATATCCCAAGTCTTTCAGCGCCCCACTGGGTACCACCTAGTTTGAGAACCACTGACCTCGACTATTTAATGGTTTAAATTTTTTTTTAATATAATTTTAAGGCATCATTTAAAAAGTAATAATAATTTATTTATTTTTATATTTAAAAAAAAAAAAAAAAAAAAAAAAAAAAAAAAAAAAAAAAAAAAAAAAAAAAAAAAAAGAGCTAACTAAAACTGCTACCTTGAAGCATAACATAAGACTAGACTAGACTAGAATCTAATACTAATAGTTAATCTAGTTAATAGTTAATCCAGTTATATCGAATTGTGTGATTACCGACTTTAAAAAAAAATCATGACGTCATATTTAAGGTCAAATTAAAAGAACAAGTATTAATAAAACTGGCACCTGCCCCTTGTGTTTTTGGAAATTAGTCCACCGGTCCACCTAACTATAACAAATAATGATACAATTACAAATGGTTATACTCAATACATACTAACTAATCAAGGGTTAGTCAGTTGTTCTTTTTAGTTATTATTCGTGTACAAAAAAAATTCTTACGTGAACTGTTATGGTTGATACATTTCATATATTGATAATCACCAATTAAAGCTGCAAGACGCGTCTTTATCAATGTCACAAAGTTATGAACTAAGACAGTGTTTGAATGTGCTGAATGCGGACTCAGTTATCACTATCAGTGGTAGCCGGTAAAAGCCGTCAACAACACATGCGTGTCAACACGAATTTACGATCTTCATCATGGCTGATCACAGACTTGACAAGGGCGCCGGTTGAATTTAACAACAAAAAATGTTTTAAAAAAAGCTCTTCACAAAATTAACACATCCACAATGTGGATAAACAACGACTGTCCATGAAATGAACACGTAACACATGTGAAAGACATACTGTTCCGAGAACACTCAGCGAAGCTCTCCTTGGTTAATTCTTAATGCAGTGTGTGAAAATAGGTCGATATGTGGATCAAAGGTCACAAGTACTTTTACGATAAAATTAAAAAAGTTTACAAGGGGTGAATTAAATTACATTCAATTTCACATTAAACGTTTGTGATAGAAACCTACATGCATTAACTCGTCTATATAATATATTTTAATAATGCTTATAATTTTTACAATCATATTTTAAATGTACTATTATGAAGAGGGATTCCGTCTGTAAACAAACGTCGCCACAACTGGGTCACGACGTGGCTTCCCTTGACCTATTTAGCTAGCTAAATATAGCACTCGATTTCAGTCTTATTCAAAAAAGATTTGGAACATTGATTTGACATGTTGGGTCTTCTTCAAACGCCATGGAATTAGTGAAGTAATATATTTTTAAAAAAATTCTTCTTTTTTTAAATAAAGAAGAAGAAAAACTGTTTTTATTTTTTAAAGTTGACGTTCTTCATTAAGGGCGCGTCCCTAAAGTACGTCCCTTAAGTACGTCACGCTACGGAGAGGGTTAAAACAGGGGGGGGGGGGGTGTTTAAAAACGTTTGACAATTTACGGTTTGTCGGGCTTTGTTTGGAAAAATGAGAGGGGGGGGGAATTTAAAAACGTTTGACAATTTACAGTTTTTTAGGGTTTGTTTGGAAAAATGAGAGGGGGTGGGAATAAAGATCTTATATAACATCACAGATTTTAAAATGTTTAAAAAAAATTAAAAAAAAATAATAATAAAAAAAAAAAAGCACATATAAAACTTGAGACGGACAGTGATGTTGAGCTTTGTTTTCTGATGGATGTTTTCTGACAGAAGATGTCACTTTTAACAATTCAATCTTTTAAATGTAAAGTGTGTTTTAGGTGGGGTTTTTTTCATTTAATATATTTTTTTTTGTTAGTTCGAAAGTGTGACGTACTTTGGTCTGAGATTTGTGACAGATTTTGACCAAAACAAAAACAAAACAAAAACGTGTGAAACATGAGAAAAACACGTACTGTGGCCTCATTTTGGAAAAGGTTCATTACAGCCCATCATACAATTTCGCAACATTTTTTCTACAACCTAGTAACATGTTAGCCATAAAAGACGTAACATAATTCTGGCTTAGGCACAGGAATTCAGTGGTGCTGGCTTATATAAAGGGACTCAGGGGTGCTGACTTATATACAGACCCCTCAGGGGTGCTGGGTTATACACAATGACTCAGGGATGATGTCTTATACACAGGGACTCAGGGGTGCTGGCTTATATAAAGTGACTCAGGGGTGCTGGCTTATATAAAGTGACTCAGGGGTGCTGGCTTATATAAAGGGACTCAGGGGTGCTGGCTTATATAAAGACCCCCCAGGCGTGCTGGCTTATACACAGGGACTCAGTGGTGCTGTCTTATACACAGGGACTCAGGGTACTTTCTTATACACAGAGAATTCCCCACCCCCTGTCGATTTGCGCATTTCAATACCTCGCTAAATACCCTTGTTCCCTTTCCCCACACACTAGTGCAAGGGTAAGCAATCTTTTTGAGGGAATAGCCGGGAACGCACACTGTCCTGAAAAAAAAAGCAGGTGTGAATTTGCTATTCAAGACGGTATGGCTCAACTGCATGCCAAAGTACACTCTCTTCTCTCCAAATTTTTTTGAGAATCCTTGTACCAGGTTAGCGTCAGAGTAGAATCAAGCAACCAGGGTAAAAATAAGACATAATGACCTGCAGAAATCTCAAGGCATGCGTGAATGACACACGGTGACGCACTTGGCAGTCAGTATTTCACAATACACCAACATGGGACCAGCGAGGCGGAAACACAAACTGTTGTGTAAACATTTTCTAAAGAGCTCCCACTCGATTCAGAGGAGGCAGCATAGGCGTATCTTGTGGGTGCGAATGTGGCAGCACTTTTGTGGTTAATAAACATTCTATACATGTCAATCATTAATTTCGTCCAAAAATTGACGTTAACATTTAATAAAATACGCACATTAATATAAATATATAATATATATATATGTGTGTGTTTTCCCTTTATATCATATAGTCCGAGTGAATCGCATTTTAGCAATCTGGGGGAACAGTGTATTTTAAAAGTATAAATGTAACTAAATTTATTAGGTTGTAGTTAAATTTATAATAAAAAATAAATAACAAAAAACAAAAGCTTATCCTCATATCAATTTTGTTTTAAAATAATAAAAACAATTGAGTTGATTTCAACCCGCCACCACAGAGCTGAAAGGTGGCTGTCTTAAGGCATGAATTAACTGAAGTTATAAGAATTTGTGATGTGGACTGGAGGCTCGTCTTGATGATCTGAAGCACGAGCGCTTGATTTCTGACCTGTTTAAGCTTTGTGGACATTTGCACTCTCCACCATATCGTGCCAAAGTGTCCATGTCTAGCCAAATGTCTTAAATAATTTTAATAGGGGGCACAACGGCGTATGCCCTTAAAGCAATGCTGTTCCAACGGTTGGCTCCCTTAGGACTCTTCAGAAATACGTGGTGAATTACATTATTTGACGTGTGTGTCCATGTTGGGGTATGTGGCTGTGTGGTGTGCAGGTAAGAGGGTGTGAGAGTTTTTTTTTTTTTTGGGGAGAGGGGGGTGGGGTTTTAGGAGATTTCCCAGGGGTGGCATTTGGTCATATAAGGAGTACCAATGGCCAAATGGGGTATGTGGCTGTGTGGTGTGCAGGTAAGAGGGTGTGAGAGTTTTTTTCTTTTTTGGGGAGAGGGGGGTGCAGTTTTAGGAGATTACCCAGGGGTGGCATTTGGTCATATAAGTAGTACCAATGGCCAATGTTTGGGGGAGTGAAGAAAACAGAACGGGTTTTCACGAGCTGGAGTTCGAGCATTGTTAGGTTTGAATCGGATTTAGAGCCACACACACACACAGACGCGATCAGAGGCGTAGCGAGGATGTTTTGGCGCCCAGGGACAAGATTCGCGCCCGGGGTCAAGATCCATTTCAAAGCGCCCCCTTTTCTTTTTTTCAACTCTCAAACCCATTATTTTTACCAATAATATAATATCAAAGCACATTTTGGCGCCCTAACTAGCTGGCGCCCGGGGAAATCTGTCCCCCTTGCCCCCCTTTGCATGCGATTGGTATTTGAACCTAAACTCTAAACATTTAACAACGGAAATGTCAATTAAATTACTTCATTCAACCTGGAGGAAAAATCAAAACTTTTATTAATCCTTCCCCCCCCCCCCCCATATGTTATATAAGAATGACCTAGCCTGACCACAACGCCAAAGAAACAACGTGATTTAAATACTTTCTGATTCTTAAAAACAATGATAGAGATTTTTTTATTATTTGACGGAACTCCAATAAATTTAAACGCGGCAAAAAAATAACAAATATTCGCTTTTATTTCAGTAAATGTTTAACTATTATTATTGTAAATTACAGATGCGTTTAAAAAAAGACATTCAGGAACTACTTTAAACACATGACATCTAAAGATTTTTTTTTTCTCTAACGTAGAAATAATCACCCGCCGATGAAGTCCTTTAGCGTCAGTTCACACGATCAAATTAGCTTAAAATGTCGCTTCAAATGTGTGTGTGAACGCACTATTTTGTGCGTGGTTTCGTTTTCGTTAGACGAAAATGGGAATTTGATCAAGCAGTAATTTGAAAGTTGTGACAAGGCCTCATACAAAAAATCACATCAAATTCATGATAAAAAATTTGATCCTGTGAACTGACGCGTAACGTAAATATAGGATTGAACTAAAAATCATTTAAATTTGGTAATTTAAGATCATGTTGAGAAAAACAAAATGTGTAGTTTAGGGGCTCGAAAAGGGGCAGGGTAGGCGTATAACATAATATAGCAGAGAAATACTTCTTAAAACTTTTAATGATGTTAGAAACTTCAACATCCGTACATAGATACTTTTTTTTTCAAAATAAGAAAGTGTGATGAGCTTTGGCAATAGCAGGTTGAGATCATAGCAAAGTGCCTTCCATTGTGATCTCGATAACATCGGGTGATATTTTCTAGTTAATGTTTCGTCTGCTACCGTGTCGAACACACGTTTCGTCTGCTAACGTGTCGGACACACGTTTCGTCTGCCAACGTGTCGGACACACGTTTCGTCTGCTACCGTGTTGGACACACGTTTCGTCTGCCACTGTGTCGGACACACGTTTCGTCTGCCACCTGTCGGACACACGTTTCGGTTATTTCGTAATATTTTGTTGGGTCGTCCGCGTGCCTTATAACTTATTGGAAATAACTCCTCTTGCCAAGCCTGGCAGACGTGCCGTAGGTAAGAGACCGCTTACGTAAGTCACTTCAGAGTCTTCATGCAAACCCGTTAATTACCTTTCAGCGTCTAATGCCCCCCCCCCTTTTTAACAAACTGCGCCCCCACCCTGTTTAACAAACTGCACCCCCCCCCCTTGCGTCACCACCGCAAACCGCTCGGGTTTAAGAGACTAAGGAAGGGTTAGTTTTCCCTTCAAGGACTAGGTCCACATTTCCACATCTCCACACGGGACTTGAATACATCGGAGTATGTATTTAAAACTGACGGTGTGCCAGCTTAGATTGAACATAATAATAGTGCCACGAGTCGGGGGGGGGGGGGTGTCGTTCTTGGGTGAAGGGGGGGTGTGGGTATGGGGGGGGGGGGGAAGGGGGGGCAATGACACTTCAGTTTGGAAAATAGCATTAGAAAGTTCGCTGGACTGAAATATTAACTAAGCTACACATGTTCCTGTGTGTCTCTGTTGCGGTGATGGCAGGCAGAATTTAACATACACTGTGGATATCACAAAGAGGAGCGTTGTATCACTAGTGTAGTATCACCCCGATACAAGGTAGACCAGCGAAATTGTAATCCTTCATTTAGAGCTACAATTTTACAGGTAATTCTTAGAAGAGAAGAAAAATTGTTTTTCGAACTACTTTCTGTTGTTTTTGTTTGTTTTTTTTTGTTGTTTTTTTTTTTGGTTTATTTACTTTATGCTGAGGAAGGCTTTTGGCAGAAACGTTCTTCTTTTTACCGTCCCATCTTTCTATTTCAAGACTTCCACACACCTTGTTCTGCCATTTCCTTGATTTTCTTCAGAAAATGTACTATCGACATGTATGTTGAACTTCTTTTAAACGAATTGTTAAATACTTTTCTGATTGACATTCTTCTTCCAACGGGACTTTGAGGGGAATGCTTTATTATTTATCATCAGTCACAATTTTATTTCGTTATGTACTCTATAATTAAGCATTCTGATCTTCACTTCGATTATTCAATCATTAGACGAAGGGATAAGCATGTTTTTGCGTTTAACTTGATTAAGATTAACTGTAATTTCTTTATGCGTTCACGTATACCACTAAGAACTTTATTTTCAAGCATTTCTTTAAAATTTTATTGGTCTTACAGTAGAAGCAAGATGGCAACACAGTCAGCTGATAAAATCATCTTCTCTTTATGCTTCATACAAGTCATCTTCTTGGCTCTATCCTGCGATGCCATCTCAGAGGGTTTCGATGGTGAATCCTTTAAAACAGTTTATTTTATTTATTTAAAAAAAAAAAAATTAAAAATAAAAAAAATATATATATATATATATTAATTATAGGATTCTCTATATAAAGCTTTTAGATTCTGTTTTTTTTTTTTATTTTTTTTTTTTTATTTGCTTTTAAACATTTTTTTCCTTAAATTTCTTTTGATTTTTTTTTTTTTATTTTTTTATTATTTTTTTTTTTTTTTTTTTTTGTTTTGTTTTTTATAATTTTTTTTNCTCAGGTCGAGTTCAAGAAATTAGCCGCAACGCTTCAGGTACACAACTATTCAAAACACGTCATTCGTTCTGTGAGGTTCGGGGGGGGGGGATATCATTGTAGGACTCTATGGTAGGGCTCTATGGTAGAGCTCTATGGTAGGGCTCTATGGTAGGACTCTATGGTAGGGCTCTATGGTAGGACTATGGTAGGGTTCTATGGTAGGGCTCTATGGTAGGGTTCTATGGTAGGGTTCTATGGTAGGGTTCTATGGTAGGGTTCTATGGTAGGGTTCTATGGTAGGACTATGGTAGGGTTCTATGGTAGGGATCTATGGTAGGGCTCTAGGGTAGGACTCTATGGTAGGGCTCTATGGTAGGGCTCTAGGGTAGGACTCTATGGTAGGGCTCTATGGTAGGGCTCTTTCATTTCACGAAGACTTCTCAAATAGATTTAAATGTCTTAATCACCATTCCAAGAAAGCGTATGAACCATTATTTGGCTGAAGGAGCTTTTTTTATAATTTTTTAAATTTTACTCAACGCTTGGCGAATAAATTGTTCTAATTTATATCATACACAAGCCCTATTAATTTGTGTAATGCCAATTCCATATAAAAGATTAAGGTTGTTCAATATGTATTGCCCTCTATCTCTATCTCTCTCTCTCTCTCTCTCTCTATATATATATATATATATATATATATATATATATATATATATATATATATATATATATATATATATAATATATAAAAATATATCCTATAAATTCGAAGCTACTAAATGTAGTGTTGTTTGTGTGTTTGCGCGTGTGTAACAACAGGGCGACGTTGTGACGCCCGTCAGTGAACACTACAAGGACCTTGCTGTTATGTACAATGTGAGAACCACCAGGTTCCCGTACGCCATTTACTTGGTGGAGTCTGTGGAGGATGTCCAAAAGGTGAGAAGCATTTTAATATCCCTAGTTTCTTACCTGGTCAACTTTGTATCTTCATTTTTACATTTTCTGCATAAATAAAAGGTTTAGGAATTTTGGTAAGACAAATAACATAACATCCAATCCAAATAAGCAGCGAATGAAACACATTGCGAGTATATTGTAATTATGACCCTGTACATCTACAACAGTCGAAATAATCGCTGCTATTGATCAAGTCTTGAAAAATTAAGGCTAAAGTGTCATAAAATAATATTTTTTAAAATCCTTTATCGTAACTTCGCTTTTGTTCAGGCTCCTTTCTTTCTGTCTGGATATTTGGCTAAATCTTCGGACGGCTAATTGACCCACATCCCGTCAAAGTTTTGAGCTGAAACTTCATGGCACATAGACCCGCTGCCGCCAATGACAACACATTCTTTCCAATGTTCAGCTCCACCCATTCAAAAAGACGTGTATCCTGATTGTGTTCAAGGGTAGAATAAAGGAAATATGACGGCGATGATTTCACGCAAAAAAATTCGCGGTAACTGCGCTAAATGAGATTCTTCTAGAGACATCGCAAGCGATGTTGCTGCGTTATAGTTTTTTTTTTATTTTTATTTTCTTTTATGTCATATTCGGTGATAAACGGATGCTAGTCTTCGGAGGTGGGTAGAAGTTGAGCAATAATTGGGATTCGTAAAAAAATGCGTAACTTGTATGCATGTTTGTCATACCGACCCCCCCCCTTGCTCGATATTACATTTTTTAAAAGACTTATATATGAAAAACTTATTTTTTGGGGTTTGTTTAACTAATTTTGGATCCATCAGTTTATGCTGAACGTAATTCACTACTTTTGCCATCAAGTGATACCTCAGCGGGATCATAAGATACAGGTAGCGGTAATGAGATCACACAATGTTCTTTTTAAGGACTAGCATATTATGTTATACGAACATTCTGTCTATTTTGATTTGAAGCTTTCAACAAAACAAAAAAATAAATAAATAAATAAAATAAAAGCAATCCATATTGTTTATCTGTGATGTCTTGTGGAACAGAATCTGCACAGACAACGCCACGGCCACCGTAGCATGACTGGCGTTAGTTAAAGACATTAACTCTGTACGGTCCTTTCATCTTGGGTTCAATTAGGTCACAGGAACCCCCCCCCCCCACAAAAAAATAGCGAAGCTTTATGTCTGTGCTTCAAAAGTGTCCAGTCCGTTCTGATAGCGTTGTGGCTGACGTTATGGCAATACTGAGTGCGACCGCACTTGATGGGTTCAATTAGGTCCCAGGAACCCCCCCCCCCCCACAAAAAAATAGCGAAGCTTTATGTCTGTGCTTCAAAAGTGTCCAGTCCGTTCTGATAGCGTTGTGGCTGACGTTATGGCAATACTGAGTGCGACCGCACTTGGAGTCAGTAAGTAATTTTAACAAAGATACGGAAAATCTTTGATCATGATTTATGAATAATATAGGAGAAAGAAAAGTTGTGTCCGGGGCAAAATCTGGAAAAGGACGCCCCCCCCCTCCCCACACCCTCCCCCGTTTCATCATTTAATGATACATGATAAGCACATACTCATATATATTTATCTGATAACTTTTTAAAATCGATGGGATTTATAATTTTCGGCGTCTTTGATCCTTCCGATGCACCCTTTCTATTTATGTCTTCTACCACCAGCCAAGTTTGACTAAATGGTTGAGGCAGCCACGTTGTGTCAGTTTAGAAATCCACCGTACCAGACTTGATATGTACCTCCACAGGTGATGTTATTTGCTAAGAAGCACAACCTGATGCTCACCATACAGTCCTCTGGTCACTCGTATATCTGCAGGTCAACCTATGATGGTAGCATACAAATTAACTTCAAGGTAAATAACATTTTCATGAGCGCACGAACGATAATTGCGAAACATAAATCAGTACAATTAAGTTGCAATTAACATTTTAATTTTCATAGTTTTTTTTTTTAATTTTAGTTTTTAAATTAATATTATGATTTTCTATTCCAATCCTCTTTAAACAACATAAATTCAATCTTTGCCTTGATTTACGTACGTTCATTTTCTATTCAGTTTCTTAGATTGTAAAGCATCGATGTTTATTTAACACTTGTGTGTCTAAACTTCATCAAATTTACTGGTTGCACACCAGTAATCGCCATGCACATAGGTGGTTAACCACTAGAAACCGTTCCACAGAGTCTGTCCTGTTACAAGGCAATCGTCTCCACTTTTCATGTTGTCACCTTCTGATAAGAAGATGCAACTTTGGGTTACTTAATCGTCTCCACTTTTCATGTTGTCACCTTCTGATAAGAAGATGCAACTTTGGGTTACTTAATCGTCTTCAAATTTCATGTTGTCACCTTCTGATAAGAAGATGCAACTTTGGGTTACTTAATCGTCTTCAAATTTCATGTTGTCACCTTCTGATAAGAAGATGCAACTTTGGGTTACTTAATCGTCTTCAAATTTCATGTTGTCACCTTCTGATAAGAAGATGCAACTTTGGGCTACTTAATCGTCTTCAAATTTCATGTTGTCACCTTCTGATAAGAAGATGCAACTTTGGGCTACTTAATCGTCTTCAAATTTCATGTTGTCACCTTCTGATAAGAAGATGCAACTTTGGGTTACTTAATCGTCTTCAAATTTCATGTTGTCACCTTCTGATAAGAAGATGCAACTTTGGGCTACTTAATCGTCTTCAAATTTCATGTTGTCACCTTCTGATAAGAAGATGCAACTTTGGGTTACTTAATCGTCTTCAAATTTCATGTTGTCACCTTCTGATAAGAAGATGCAACTTTGGGCTACTTAATCGTCTCCAAATTCGACTTAAGTAATAGTGATGGATTGCCATCATCTCAAGCCCCAGTAAACAATGGGTCTTACGAAATCCAACCCATGATAAGATTAAAAGTAATGTTTCCGACGAATTCAAATTTGACTGTAGGTAAATTGATGTTAGCACCAGAAACAATCACATACAGTATTTAGTTTATCGATTTTGTGGTTCGTTTCGGCATTTCAGAAGATGAAAGGGAGACAAATCAACTTGCAATCGACGAGGAGTGAGGCAGGGGAGATCACTGTGGAAAGCGGCAACACCTGGCTGGAGGTCTACACAGAAGTAAGCTTTTGTTTTAGACTGTGAATGTTTAAAATCAGCGTAAGGAGCGTTTCCTAAACATGTTAAGCTTTGTTGAATGCTGGGCGAGATTTTAATGGCTGTTAGTTTGATCATGTGTTGTTCTTTTATTTTTTTTATTTTTACCTAAAATAATTATGTCCAAAATATTGTTTCAATTCGTAACCAGCCGATTCAGTAGTAGGACTCCAGTACTATTACCATTTATTGCCACAGTTAGTTGGTTTTTTTTTTTTTTTTTTTTTTTTTTTTTTATTTTTTTTTAATATTTTTTTTTTTTTTTTTTTTATTTTCTTTTAAAAAAAATTTATTTTTTTTTTTTTTTTTTTTTTTTTTTTTTTTTTTTTTTTTTTAAGTTTTTGTGAAGCAGCATTTTGATTATAATGTCAATGTCATTAAAAAAAAATTAACTTTTTTTTTTTGAATAAAATTATTCTTCCCAAATTGACAATTTAAAAATAAAGTATTTGCATTTTTTTGTTTATTTAAATGTTTTAAAGTTTGTCCAAGGGGCTATTCGTAGTTTAGCGTCTTAAACATTTGATAGTAATTTGACGGTCATGCTTTACTTGTAGACGATTTTCCTCAAATATAATCACACATTAGTGAAAACCACATTACTATTTAGTCATGTTTTTTTTTAAATTTGTATAACATAAGCAGGTCAAGCAGAGCCGTCGCCTGACTTTTCGAGGCCCCCCTACCACATTTCGCTGTTTGTCTTCCCAACCATCCATTCAAAGTTGATCATTTTAAAAAAAGGGCCCACATAACAACTTTGAGCCCCTAAAATATCCAAAGCCCACTGCAGCCTTTGGAGTACATGTGCGCAGAATCAATAGATCTCACATACTTAGACGGCAGACCAATATTAAACTAACTTATTCTTAAATAAGAAATACGCGCAGTTTATAGGATATTATCTATTTATTTATAATCTCTTACGTTTCCCGTTAATCTCAAAGCAAAATTTGTGCGTCACTTCCGTATCTGAACACGCCAATCATTTCCTTTCAACTACATATCTACAAGCTGGGTTTTTTTTACTGTGAATTTTTAAAAAATATGTTTTGATTCGTAGACTTCTTGTGCGAAGCGTCCACATTTTATTATTTTTAACTTCATCGGGTTTCCCTCTACTATTTGTATGTGTATTCTTCTTTCTTCGACCAGGACGTACTCTTCTCCCCGTTATTCTCGAATTCTAATTTATGTGTTCATCACCGTAACACTATTGGTAGTAACAGTGTCTACGGTGGCTTTCAATGATGAACTAACGACTAAACCCTTCTTGGTTTCTGAGAATGTTTATTTTTTTCATTGCGCAAAGATTGCAGTTCCAATGTATTTATTTTATTGTATTCATTCTTCGCAAATGCATGTAATCAACCTCAGCCAACTTGTTTATTTTTTAAGCCATAAATTCAATATGCTTCGTGCACCAGGTGGACAAAGTTGTCACGGCAGCCAACGGCACCCAGAGGCGACGGGTCATCGTCGGCGGAAGTGCCCACACCGTGGCCATGGGCGGATACACGCAGGGTGGGGGTCACAGCCCCCTGTGCAGGAGCCTGGGCATGGCGGTGGACAATCTCCTGGAGGCGACCCTGGTCACGGCTGAAGGAAAGATTGCCACTGTCTCGGAGGAGGGGTCAGTCATCAAGGTGAAGTATACAACCCACTGGAGAGGCTTTGGGTTGCAGACAACGCATTTTAACCTCAAACACGCGGTAGCTAAGATTCGACCAGTGGACATCGGTTAGTTAAGTTACGTGAGCACGGAGCAGAGCTAATGTGGCTCTAAAATGTCAGCTAATAACGTCACGAGCTACAGCACATCCAGGGACGTCCACAGAGGGAAGGAAGCAGTTTTTTCGAAGCAGTTGCTTCCAGTCTGATTGGGAATAGGGGGGGGGGGTAAAATTCCGACCCTCGCCGCTTTTTTAAAAAAAAATTCTCCAGATAACAAAAAAAGCAAATAAAAAGAAAGGGAACAAATATGTGCTTCGCTGTTTAGAACTCTAAATCAAAAATATTTAAAAAATTGCACATTTTATTAACATACATCGATCATGCACGAATTGGAAAAAATTGATCTAAGAGATAACAAACAAATTATAGGCATAATAAAATTTCATTTTTTTTTTAAACCCAAGAAAACTACTTCTGGATTTGACAATTTGATTGGCTGAAAATCTATGAAGCAATTTGGAGCTATTAGCGATCTCAATATCTTTATTTGGTATTCAACAGTATTTTTAACAGTTTTTTTTAACATCACTTTTCAACAGTATTTTTCAACAATATTTTTCAACAGTTTTTTTAACAGTATTTTTCAACAGTACTTTTCAACAGCACTTTTAATATTATTTTTTAAATACTATTTTTATTACTAATATTCATGTAATCATATGAAACTCATATTATGGTGAATGAAATACCATGCATAGTTAACCAAGGTCCCGTGTAGAGTTGGGGAGTTAGGCTTCCAGATTTAGTTTAACCTGAGCTAGAAGACACTAACAGGATGGACTAGTAAATCATTGCAACACTCGCATAGACAGAATGCTGGCTGCCGCCCCCCCCCACCCCCCCATTCCAACCCTGTAATCTGAAATTCGATTGGTGTTTAGCTCTTCGGAATGTCTTCATATTCAAAGTTGCCATGGACGACGATGTCGTGGACTCGAATTCATACTTTCCCAGGGGCCTTTGCTCTTGCCGTCTGCTTGATATCCTCACCGATAAAATAAGACTTAACAACTCAACATCCGGTACCTTTTATAAGCTCTTTGAAATTTAAAACCAAACTTAATTCTTTTATTTTACCATTTTAATTTTTTTTAAAATATATATTTGGTTGAATATGAAGCATCCAGCATTCATAGTGAGCCTTTTAAGTACAACAGATTATGTCATGATTCGACCACGTGATAACTTCACAACGACAACAACTTTGTTTTTTTTTTTTTATATATATATTCTTATCAACAGGATACTGACGGCACCGTGACCGAAAACTGCGACGCTTCCCTGTTTTGGGCCATCAGGGGCGGAGGCGGCGGAGCCTGGGGAGCTGTGATAAGTTTCACCTTCAAGCTGCACTACGCCCCTGAGAGATTCAGGGTCGTCTACGCTTCGTGGGTTCTTCGCGCTGGTCAAGGTGAGCCGTTCCATGATTGTTTCACCAGGCAGGCTGTTTGTTGTTGTTGTTGTTGTTGTTGTTGTTGTTGTTGTTGTTGTTGTTGTTGTTGTTGTTGTTGTTGTTGTTGTTGTTTTTTTTTTTTTAAACTCGGCGCTGAAGAACAAACGTTCATGTCCCTATTTATTTTTTTTGTTTTTTTGCACTGATGTATGTAACAAGTTGTTGTTGTTGTTGTTGTTGTTGTTGTTGTTGTTGTTGTTGTTGTTGTTGTTGTTGTTGTTTTTTTTTTTTTTTAAACTCGGCGCTGAAGAACAAACGTGCATGTCCCTATTTATTTTTGTTGTTATTCTGCACTGATGTATGTAACACCCCAAGTACATTAGAGAGAAGACCTCCATTTCTACTCAGAACAGCGAGCATTTACAACTTCCTTTTAAAGCAGCTTTTTTTTTTTAACATAAGATTTTACATGGAGGACGTTCACACACACACACTTACACACACTCACACACACACTCACACACAATAAAGCTGTTTGCATTAATTGGCATTGTCTCCATCTCTCCAGAGGAGCAGTTTGGTCGAGACACCGTGGCGTTTGTTCTCAGGGCGCTCAATCAACTCTGTCCTCAGTGGGGAGGTTACCTCATCGTAAGTGATCAACTCTTTGTTTGACTCACTTGTGTCACCGTCAACCGGCTCGTTCGCCGTCCCCTAGGTCACTTGTTTGGCTCTGCTCGGAAACAAGCCCTTTTCAACTTTGGGCCTTTAATCCAGCGGTTCTCAGCCTGAGGGTTGCGACCTCCTTTGAGAGGGTCAAACGACACCTTCACAGGGGGGGTCGCCTAAAACCACCGGAAAACACATATCTATAAAGTGGCAATGAGACTAATTGTATGGTTGAGGGTCGCCACAGCGTTAGGGAAATGTAATAAAGGTTCACCGGATTAGGCAGGTTGAGAACCACTGGCTTAATCCAACCAAGCTGCTGGGACGTCTCGGATGTGCTTCAAATTAACACTAAAAATCTTTTCAAACTAAGGCGGCTAACTTTCATCAAACTAAGGCGGCTAACTTTCATCAAACTAAGGCGGCTAACTTTCATCAAACTAAGGCGGGCTAACTTTCATCAAACTAAGGCGGCTAACTTTCATCAAACTAAGGCGGCTAACTTTCATCAAACTAAGGCGGCTAACTTTCATCAAACTAAGGCGGCTAACTTTCATTTTTGTTTCGCTTGGCAGGCTTCAGGTGGAGCCATAGACCCACGAGCCTTCTACTCGGGTATCTTGACAGTTTATCTCAACCATTTTGGTTCAGGAAGTGACGTGTGCAACAAGGACATTGATGGTATTTTAAACTACAACATTTCTGGAAACCAGGTCAGGGATTAGTAAATTTAAGAGCTAATATATTTCAGGTGTCCTCCAGAGTTAATATATTTCGGTTGTACTTCTGATCTAATTAGCACTTCCTGATTACCACAGTATTTCAGTTGTACTTCTGAACTAATATATTTGAGTAGCACTTTTGAGCGAATATATTTAAGGGGTACTTCTGAGCTAATATATTTGAGTAGCACTTTTGAGCGAATATATTTCAGGTGTACTTCTAAGCTCAAATATTTCAGGTGTACTTCAGAGCTCAGATATTTCAGGTGTTCTTCTGAGCTCATATATGTCAGGTGTACTTCTAGGCTCATGTATTTCAGGTTCACTTCTGAGCTCATATGTTTAAGGTGTACTTCTGAGCTCATATGTTTAAGGTGTACTTCTGAGCTCATATGTTTAAGGTGTACTTCTGAGCTCATATGTTTAAGGTGTACTTCTGAGCTCATATATTTAAGGTGTACTTCTGAGCTCATATATTTCAGTAAAATTGATTACGGGTATGTGATTTATTTACCCCCGCCACCACTTTTTTTTGTATCTCCCACTTGCCATCAGTACGCCAAAAGTGACAGGAACTTCAGCACATTCCTGGAGTACGAGCACACCGCCTACGACCCCCCGGCAGTCAACGCTTACATCGTCAACACTTTCGTCCAGCCCGCCGCCGTCAATGACTCCGTTAAACTGGCAGCGTTGGTGGATACCCTCATGGGCTTAGACGCTTCTGTCAGCTGTACCGGGGCCATGATTGGCGGTGAGTAATGGGACATTATTATTGCCGCTAGAATTGGCCCGTTAAACTGACAGCGTTGGTGGATACCCTCGTGGGCCTAGACGCTTCTGTCAGCTGTACCGGGGCGACGATGGGCGGCGGTGAATGATGGGAAATTATTATTACTGCTAGAATTGGCCCTTTGAAATCTTCGGAAACGAATATTTTATTTTTATTTTTTCTAATGTTTGAATTTGTTGTGACCATTAAGATTTATGCATGTGCAAATTGTTGTTATAATCCGGCATACATGCTAAATAATATATTTTAAGACTTAGATATGTTTAGAGGGTATTATGTAATGCACTATTTTCACTTAATTACCATATTCATTCACAAACAAAGCTGTTCGACTAATCTGCATACACCACCCACTGAACGATGCTCACCAAAACTACACCCAGACATTCACACGCCAAGGCGTCTTGAACACATTCAGACAAACACTGACCAAGGTGTCTTGAACACATTCAGACAAACACTGACCAATGTGTCTTGAACACATTCAGACAAAAACTGACCAAGTTGTCTTGAACACATTCAGACAAACACTGAACAAGGTGTCTTGAACCCATTCAGACAAACACTAACCAATGTGTCTTGAACACATTCAGGCATTCACTCACCAAGTCGCCTAAAACACATTCAGACATTCACTCACTAAGTTGTCTTGAGCCCCCTCCAATGAATTCATCTGTATTGCTTTAAACAAATATATCTAACAAATCTACGACACCGTGATCAAGGGAACTTGTCCGCCATGCTTTTTGTTTTCTTTCCGAAGACTAAAATGTACAACCAAGTACACCTTAGTCATTACATTAGTATTATATCACATAGTTTTGGTTGGTCTAATGTGTTAATTTTTTTACTTGAGAACAGAGGCACATGGCGTGTAAGGGAATTTTTCTGACTTTTTTTTTTGTTTTGTTTTTTTTTTGCTATCTTGCGAATAGAAATTTAAATTTTTATCATCTGCTGCCTCTGTTTAATCAACGGAGTTTGTCCCCAAAATTCAATAAAAAGTGTGTGAAAGTGTGTGTGTGTGGGGGGGGGGGTACGTGTCCCTGTGACCTCACTGGGCGAAGCGACATGCCAATCGGAGGCATGTATGTTTAAGAAATAGTATTACCGCATGTTGTTTATGGTTGCAAGGGATGAAAGACTTAGATTGGATATTCTCGTATGTAGTTTTGTGTAATTTTGCGTTTTGTATTTCAATATGGTATAATATAGATTTTTTCATTTCTCTATTAATATGGATGACTGTGTACCGTGCTTCGAGCCTTTGGGGATGAAGCGTGATTTTCAAATAAGCTTTATTATTATTGTTATTGTTATTATTATTATTATTATTATAATTATTATTATTATTATTATTATTATTATTATTTATTATTATTATTATTATTATTATTATTATTATTATTATTATTATTATTATGCGTGGTTTTGACTGACAAGAAACAGATAATCCGTGAGTCACGAGTATTACTGACTTAAAAAATTGTTTTAGGTGCGATGAATCGATCCAAGTCGGGCTCCACACCGGTCAACCCGAGCTTCCGGTCTGGACTGATGTCCATGTCGTGTGGTGTAGGCTGGGACAGCAAGTTCACGAACGATTCTCTTTACGTCGACCAGGCTCTGAAGCTGGGTCAAAGGTTACTCGAGGTATCAGAGTTTTGTTTTTATTAATAGTTTTAAAATGATATTGAGTTTTAGAGTGTTTACTAATTGGGAAGCTTGATTTTAGAATGTTTCCTAATTGGGTCACGTGATTTTAGAATCTTTTCTGATTGGGTAACGTGATTATAGAATGTTTCCTGATTGGGTAACGTGATTATAGAATGGTTCCTAATTGGGTCACGTGATTTTAGAATCTTTTCTGATTGGGTAACGTGTTTTTAGAATGTTTCCTAATTTTTATTGGGTAACGTGATTTTTAGAATGTTTCCTGATTGGGTAACGTGATCTTAGAATGTTTCCTGATTGGGTAACGTGATCTTAGAATGTTTCCTGATTGGGTAACGTGATCTTAGAATGTTTCCTGATTGGGTAACGTGATCTTAGAATGTTTCCTGATTGGGTAACGTGATCTTAGAATGTTTCCTGATTGGGTAACGTGATCTTAGAATGTTTCCTGATTGGGTAACGTGATCTTAGAATGTTTCCTGATTGGGTAACGTGATCTTAGAATGTTTCCTGATTGGGTAACGTGATCTTAGAATGTTTCCTGATTGGGTAACGTGATCTTAGAATGTTTCCTGATTGGGTAACGTGATCTTAGAATGTTTCCTGATTGGGTAACGTGATCTTAGAATGTTTCCTGATTGGGTAACGTGATCTTAGAATGTTTCCTGATTGGGTAACGTGATCTTAGAATGTTTCCTGATTGGGTAACGTGATCTTAGAATGTTTCCGAACGGGGCCGAATTTGAATGAAAACTTCGCCTTTGCGTTATGCAGTTCTATTTTTAGCATTTTCTTCTTGAACAACTGACGTTGATGTGCTGTTCATGAACAGTCATGATAGCGAACCTCAATTCTTTATTTAAAATAATAATAACAATGAAACATGCTTTCATTAATAATTTTTCTTTTTTAAGAAACTAAAAATTAATTTTTTCGTAAACTAACTTTTTTTTTGAAAAGACATGATTTTGTTGTTATCCCTCCCCCCCCCACCCCCCACCCCTTTTTTTTTTCTTCTCAAAACTGTTCTCTTAGACACAATTACAAAATATGAAGTTGATTTGTTTTAATAAAAACATAACAGGTCGGCAGTGGTGTCTATTATAATGAATGCAACGAAGATCTGGATAACTGGAAGGAAGAGTTCTGGGGTGGGAAAGACACGTACTGCAAGTAAGTGATGTCTGTACTATTTTAATTTGTAGCTGACACCATACAGAAGCACGAGAAAAGCTGTAGTCGGTCTATTCAAGTCATAGTGAGAGAAGAGGTAGCAAAAACATCATTGACTTATATGAGATAAAGTAGCATCTATGGCTTATTTGAACATATTGGCCAAAGTAATTATGAGATTAGGTACTAAAGGCATATTGGCATTTTCATAGATGAACAGAGCTGTCACATGACTTCGAGAGGCGCCCCCCCCCCCGCCACCCATTACTTTTCTGGTTTTGTGCCCCTTCCAATAAAAGTTGTTAAATATTTTTCACATCACAATTTTTGGCCACTTAAATATCCGCAGGGGTTTCGGGGCGCACGCGACGGCCCTGTTTCTCAGATCAGCAAGCTAGACCCGACCCACCATGATTTGTTACTAGTGTATGTTATATAACAAATGATCTTCTTCTCATTTCTTCTTTACTCTACCAGACTGGCTGCCATCAAGCGAACGTTTGACCCGGACAATTTCTTATGGTGCCACAACTGCGTGGGCTCGGACTTTAGGTTCGGGTGTCCTAAGTCCTACTGGTGGCAGCGGGACAACCCGTGGGCGTACAGGCAAGCTAAGCGAGGGAGGCACGTGTCAGAGTTGGAGTACCGGCTGGCAAAAAGTCTCAGCAACTGAACTTGGCATTCTGAGTCACTGGACTTGGCATGCTGAGTCACTGGACTTGGCATTCTGAGTAACTAGACTTGGCATGCTGAGTCACTGGACTTGTCATTCTGAGTAACTAGACTTGGCATGCTGAGTCACTGGACTTGACATTCTGAGTAACTGGACTTGGCATGCTGAGTAACTAGACTTGGCATGCTGAATAACTAGACTTGGCATGCTGAGTCACTGGACTTGGCATGCTGAGTAACTAAACTTGGCATGCTGAATAACTAGACTTGGCATGCTGAGTCACTGGACTTGGCATTCTGAGTCACTGGACTTGGCATTCTGAGTCACTGGACTTGGCATTCTGAGTAACTGGACTTGGCATTCTGAGTCACTGGACTTGGCATTCTGAGTCACTGGACTTAGACTTGAGACAAACTGATCTTTTTCTTCTCAACAGATTGACCCAACGGTGCCTTTCAATTACTTTTACCAACCAAACTTTGATTTCTTCACAAATTGAGTCCATGAATCTAAAATGTTCGAATGGATATTTTTTTTTAAACGCGGATGGTGGTAATCTATTTTTAGATCACCGAACATGTTTGTTTTTAAAAGTTATTTTTTTTTATTTCTCATTTTTTAAAGAAATAAAATATATGTATTTGTTTCATTATGTCTGACCAGTGATCATAACAATGAAAATGTGATACATAAAACATACCTTGCTTAATGAACTAGTTTGGTTTATCATCAGCTGCTTTGGTCCAAGTGTTTCAATTAAAATATGATACAATCCTTGCATTGGGCATAAATATAAATAAATGTTGTATATCGAATTCGAGGGCATACGTGTATCAATAGTTTACGCTATTTATTTTACAATGAGATAACGATTTTTTTTCCTATGGAAAAATAAACGAGCAGATTAATTTTTAAGAAAATCAATAAATTTGAAAGGAAAAAAATCGATAAATCTTATTTAAACATCGAAGACTTACAAATCCTGTTTGAAGTGACATATATTTTTACCCGTTCACTCGGCGCAGTAGACGCGGTCAGCTATGATAATTTGAGTGACCGTTTCAACCCGCCAACGTCAACCCAGTCGTAGACGCGATGCTGACACGACTCGGTTGCAACGTGGCGCTTCAGGTGACCACTTCACGAGAACATCATCGGCTGAGAGAAAATGTCACGTGTGTAAACAAAACAACAACAACAACAAGAAAAGCTCCATCCACACACCCACAAGATAGAATTGCAAGGTTATAAAAAAAAAAAAAAACATTTATAAAGAGGGCAGCGAAGACTATTTGCAATTCTTTTAATTGGGAGAAAAATCTTGATTAAAAGGGGGACGCCTGACACGAGTTTAGCTAATATAATCTCTTTTTCTTTTTTGGATGAAGTTCTTTGAATTGTTGTAATGAAGAAAAAATTGGAATTTTTTTTTTTTTTTTTTTTAAAGACGTTGAATTTTTAAAGAAACACGAAGCTTTATGAAGCGCATAAGAACATGTTCACTGAGAGAATACGCCGGAAGGAGATGAACAATCGATACAGAAACAGAATGATCGGGAGAAAGAATTCGGTTTTGAGTTGGGCGTCTCGGAATACGAACGCCTTACTTCAAAGAGGGACATTTCCCATTGACGCCCCTACATACTTTCTGAGGCCCCATCAGCATCAGGGAAAACATCAAGTGGCTTGGTGGCTGACCCATGACAAAATTAGCCCCCTCCCCCCCCCTCTCCGCTCAGGTGTTGAACACATAACGGAACCTCCAGCCCCGGGCCACATAAATTATGATTTGAGAACCACCCGGTGATTTCGGTAGCCCACTTCTAATATGACTATTGTCACATGGGAAATGGCGTCGGTGGGGCGTGGAGCGTGAACTCTTAATGCCCCCCACCGGCACACCTCCACACGGGCCAAACGCAAGGTTTCCCCTCCACCAGACCGTGCGGGGGCACGCCGGGAACCTCCCCCCCCCCCCCCCGGCCCGGGGGGGGCCCCCCCGGGAACCCCCCCCCCCCCCCCATGGCCAGGGTGACGTCCGGTCGAAATAAACCCTGCCTTTAAAGCGTTCACAGTCCACTCTCCCTAGGGTCTGGGTTGATTTGCTCTTTCTCCAGAGGAATGGTGTTGCGTTACCACCCGCCACACCCACGGAGTCTTTTGGTCGGGACGAAAAGCTGGGACAAAACGGTCGCCTAGGAGCGGTTTTCTCGCGGCCACGTAGCTAAAATCATCGGCATGGGTTTTTAAGCCCCCACCCAAGCCTCATATCCATCAACGGTAATAAAATTACTGTTAAATGATCTGTTTTAGATTTCTTATTGCTTAACATGCACTTAGGTTTATAATATCGGGACTCGACAGCTCGCTAAATACTCGGCGGATCGTATTGGGGTGAGAATTTTCATACGTGGATGACAATGTTCCCTCTAAGGTGTGCTGGTTCGTGTGCAAAATCATACAGTTGTGTGCAAAGTTTTACATCATCAATTTTTGTGTGTGCAAAATTTTACAGCCCACAAACACAAACTAACATGGAAATTTGCTGCGCGGATGATCAAAACTGCTGCGCGGCGTCTGTGAGATAGCCGCGCAGCCGTGCAGCTTAAAGGGAACATTGGTCGTCGATGAGGCCCCAGTACTAAAAAAGGGGCTCGTTCGCTCCATCAGATATTTATTGGCGTTTTCTAAAGACATTCGTGTACACGGTCATACACCTGGCGGCCACCACATGCGCCAACGGATCCGGACGCCGTTTGAGACGCACTGATTTCCGATTTACTCCTTCCACAACTCAATCCGATGCCTCCTTTGTCTGTTTGATCGTATGGTTTTGTCCGCCGTAGTTCAAAAGTTATTCTTTTCATCTCGTTAAAGCCCAACCTCTGCCTGTATGGTTTTATAGGTGCGCTCGTTTCTTTTGTTTGTGTTCATCTCCTACTTTTGTCTCTTGCAATTTAAAGCATTCTTCAATTGAATGTCAACATTCTACACGGATGACTTTTTTTTTTTTTTTTTGTCGTTTGAATCTTATTACCACATTCCTCTGGTTGTCCTCTCCCATACTGCATTGCAACTAAGTGCTATTTTTATTTTTGTTTTTATTTTGTTTTAAATGTTTTTTTTAATGTTGTTTGTTCGTTGATGAAGGCTACTGGCCGACACGTTCATTATTTTGTTGCGTCCTTTTTTTTTCCCCGGGATTTCCCCTTACTTGGTTTCGCTCATTTCCTTTTACCTAACCTGATTGCAGTCTGTCCCTTTTTTTGCAATGAATCTTAAAAGACTTATATAACATATATTTTCTTCAATCACAACTGACCTCGGGGACTGGATCATTGTTTAACAGGGGTTCTCATTATTTCATATCAATGACTCCGCCCACAGTATCCCTCGGCAAATCTTGATTAATAAGGCGCAGAATAATAATGTTATTAAAGAATGGTTCAAAGAGAATATAATAATGTAATTTTTTTTTCCTTCTCATTTGATCCAGTTACCCAGAAGATCACGAATTTAGAATGGCTAATTATATTTAGATTTTAAATTGATTTTCCCAATTTGGGATTCAAATAAATCTGCTAGTTAAAAAGTCGTAAAGAAATATGCAATATATACAAAAATTTAAAAAAATAAAATTGAGATATTGATGATTTAAGAAAAATCATTTACTGGGCAAATTTTAATCTCAGACATTTACATAGAGTAGCATAATAGTGTAGCCTAATCATGTAGCCTAATGGTGTAGCCCAGTGGTCGGCAACTGTCATGAAGCCTAATGGTGTAGCCCAGTGGTCGGAAAATGTCATGTAGCCTAATGGTATAGCCCAGTGGTCGGCAAATCGCGGATCGTGAGCGGCATGCGGCCCTTCAGCGACCTGAGTGCGGCTCGGCCAGCCGGCCACAATTCGATCTTTACTCCGAAAAAACATGGTTCTTCACAAGTTATTGAAAAGCAATTTGGCTCTCAACAAAATGTTAACCGTCCTTCTGCTGCTGATTTTTGGCTCTGTTGACTAATGACTTTGCCGAGTACCGGTGAAGCCTATTAATGTAGCCTAATGGTGTCGCCTAATTGTGTAGTCCTATTTTAGGTGCATGTCATAAACTTGTGCTACAACTTTCAGGAGGAGTTTGAGTTTTATCGACTCCCCAAAGCCCAGTTTTATGGCGCAGGTCATCAACGGCAGACCACTCTGCGAACTTGATGATTTAGATAGATGAATGGGAGGAGCCAATCGATGATCGACGGCGGCTCATCACGTGATGACGTCATCCAATCGATGGGCGAGTCGTTAAAAACTGTCTGTCGGATGATTGGATGGCGTCTTGACGTGACGCTGACGCCAAATGTTCATCGGTGGTGTCCGTTGCCTCCAGGCGATTTAACTGTAGATTTCAAAACTGTTTTGAAAAAACACCGATTAACCTTGTCATGAGATGTGTTCTTTTATTTCACTTCATTTTTATTTCTTTTTCTTTTTGAAGCCTTGAGAAAATTACAAAAAAAATGTAATACATATTTTTTAATGTCTTCTGGCAGCAGTTTGCTATATTAAAACTTTTACTGAACGTTAAACTAAAGATTTTTCTTCGGTTGGGCTGGGAATGAAACAGGTTTGACATAAGTTCGTTGACCCCTAAGTGGGGCAAATGGGTTTGACATAGATTTGTTGACCCCCCCACGTGGGGTCAATGGGTTTGATATAAGTTCGCTGACCAAATGTGGGGTAATAGGTTTGACATAAGATTGTTGACCCCCATATGGGGCAATGTGTTTGACATATGACTCCATGTTATATGAGTGGCTTCAGGATATTTGCATGACGTTCCTGTGCAATTCTCTCAGACGGTAAAAGACAACCAGGTGCAGGTGACCTCACGGATTAATGTTATTGACACATTCGACGGCCAGGCGATAGTTCAACCAAAATCAAACGTTCTTTGAAGAAGAACCCATTTTTTCCTTGAATTTATTTCTAATATTTTCAGTTTCCTGTTAATCTCAGAGGCAAATCCTTTGATGTCATGCGTCACTTCCTTAATTGAATATGTCTGGTATGTATTTCCTGTAGACTACATATCTTTACAACAAGCTAAGTATGTTTGCCGGTGTCCAGAAGACTACATATCTATATAACAAGCTAAGATTGTTTGTCTCTGTCCTTCAGACTATATATCTATACAATAATGTATAGAGTGTTTGTCTCTGTCCTGTAGACTATGTGTCTATACAACGAGTCATGTAGACGACATATCTATACAACAAACTATGAGTGTGTCTCTGTCCTGTAGACTATAGATAGTGTTTGTCCATGTACTTTAGACTACATAATATCTATGCTACAAGCTAAGAGTGTTTGTTCCTGTCTTGTAGACTACATATCTATACAACAAGCTGACAGTGTTTATTTCTGTCTTGTAGACTACATATCTATACAACAAGCTGAGAGTGTGTTCGTCTGTATTCAACTGTTTTTGCTGTAAAAGGCTTTTTTGTTTGAGGCATTCACTTTCTGTTCTTGTCCTACTTCAGGTTTTCCCCTAACCATCCCTACCCATCCTCTACCCATCCTCTACCCATCCTCTACCCATCCTCTACCCATCCTCTACCCATCCTTAACCCATCTCTACCCATTTCTACCCATCCTCTACCCATCCTCTACCCATCCTCTACCAATCCTTAACCCATCTCTACCCATTTCTACCCATCCTCTACCCATCCTCTACCTATCCTCTACCCAAATTCTACCCAGCCTCTACCCATCCATACCCATTAATGTCTCTTCAGTGTGTCTTCAATGTGTCTTCAAAGTGGCATCAATGTGTCATCAATGTGTCATCAATGTGTCATCAATGTGTCATCAATGTGTCATCAATGTGTCATTAATGTGTCATCAATGTGTCATCAATGTTTCATCAATGTGTTATCAATGTGACTTCAAAGTGGCATCGATGTGTCTTCAATATGTCATCAATGTTTCATCAATGTGTTATTAATGTGTCTTCAAAGTGGCATCGATGTGTCTTCAATGTGTCATCTATGTGGCATCAATGTGTTTTTAATGAGTCATCCATGTTTCTTAAATGGTTCAAATGAGCCTGGAATCTGTTGCAATTTTTTTTTTTTTTTTTTTTTTTTTTGTTTTTTTGTTTTACAGTCTTTTGATTTAGGCAGCTGGAATAAAATTCTCATAGGCAACAAACAAATATGTGTTCACTATTTTAATGAGATGATGTGTGTTGGTACGTTCTTTGATGACATTTTTTAAAAATTTGATGAAATCTGCCACTCACTCCATCAACTCTTCCTCTATTCCCTGACCAATTTACTTCTTCTTCTATATCTTAAGGGCCCCACGATCAATGTCATGATCATTCTGGATCATATTTATGAAGAGGAGATTTGCGATGCTTCCGCGTCTAATATTAAAGAGGATATTTGACTGGTTGCAAGGGCGACTCAGCGAGGGTATCATGAACTGGGGGTTGGAAGGCCTATGTGTCGCATATGTGTCAAGTGTTGTCACCTAAATGCAACATCTTAAATGTAAAATTTCTAGCGACTCCTCACACATCTCCTTCAATAGACTTTAATATTTCTAGCCATTCCTCACTAATCTCCAGTAAACTTTAAAATTTCTAGCCATTCCTCACACATCTCCTTCAGTAAACTTTAATATTTCTAGCCATTCCTCACACATCTCCTTCAGTAAACTTTAATATTTCTAGCCATTCCTCAAAAATCTCCATCAGTACTCATTAATAATTCTTGCCATTCCTCACACAACTCCTTCATTTCACATAATATTTTAGCCAAGCCTCAGACATTTCCTTCAGTACACATTAATATCTCTAGCCATCCCTTACAAATCTCCTTGTCTAAACTGTTTCTCCCCCCACTCCTCCAAACTGACTCACTCCATCTCCATCTGACCTCAGTTACCTGCCACCCCCGGATTATCTAACACTAAATTGACCTCAGCTACCTGTCATCCCCGGATTCTCTCACGCTAAACGCAATTGACGATGTCGCCATGACCAGCGACTTGGATCGGCCAGGGTCCCGAGTTTTCTCCGAGGCTTGGCCCAGACAAAAAAGTCGCTTGTAAGTCCTGAGGAAGTTCTTGTTCATCATGCCGTACAGGATCCAGTTGAGGCACGAGTTCGTGAAGGACGTGTAGGAGCAGGCCAGGTGGACGACCGACGGCCAGGTGTTGGATGTGTCCAGGACCGTCGCCACCATGTACGGGGTCATCAGGACGGCGAAGCAGACGAAGATGACGAAGAGGGATTTGACGAGCGCCATCTCGTCGGCCGTAACGAAGATGCCCTGAGGATCAAAGTGTGTGTGTGGGGGGGGGGGGGGGGGGGAGGGTGGGGTTAAGGTTTTCAACTTCAACGACAAAGAAAAAAAAATGTGTTGATTAGAAGTTAAGAGTTTTTAATTTTGTTATTCTAGCTTGCACTAATCACAGAGAGTTGAGACTTTGGTTAAATTTTATTTGTCTAATCTGAAGAAAAAAATGTGTTTTTAATAACACATACAGTAATACCTCGAATATCGTGAGTGTGACAATCGGAGACCCCCCACCCCACCCACACACGCACACATAAACATTCACGCAAGAAAATGCGAACAACTTTGAAGTAGAATTTATAAATATACATAATAATAGAGCTTGATAAACCATTCATACACTCATATAAAAATTTATATAAAGGTATATCTATTTCTCCATATACATATTAATATAACCCATGATCCAAGAATCCCATTGTTTTTATTAGATTCAAAGCTTCTTTTGGGTCGAAAACTGAGTTTCAGTTTAGGCTCTGTGACCTGTGATCTGTGTATTTCCTCGAACAAGAAGTAGAATCGATAGAACGTAACTCTCAAACCAAACCAGGCTGAATAATAAATATAACAAGCACGTCACACTTATCAATTTATTAGAATTCAAAGAGGTCGAAAGGTCTTACCCTGATCGAAGGCTTTGTCTCTTTGACTGTGTTCCGTAAATGCTTGCCAGTGTGAGACCCTCTATCGGCTAGTAAACCAGTGTGGTCCTCAATCAGCAAAGCGCCAGCCTCGGACCTAGACGCCTGCAGTGATAGTCCTAGGTTAACCGAGGGTGCCAAGCAAGTCGGTGAAACCGGAGATGGATCCTTCACGGGCGCGCGCGGCGCCCTGGTGGGGGTGACTGCACGCGGGGCTGGTGTCGCCCTTCCCGGCGATAATACCGATGGGCGTCTCGGCGCCTTGCTGGATGGAGGAGCTACAGACGGCGCTGGAGACGTTCTCGGGTACGTTGCCGTGGATGGCGGTTCTAGCATCCCTACGGGCTGTACCCTGTGGGTCCGAGGGACCGGGGATGGGATGTTTAGGTGTGGGCTGTGCGTTACGTAAGAATTGGGGGATCTCATACTCAGCCCCGTGGCGGCTCTAGCTTCCCGCTCCGATGCATCCTGGAAAGGCGAATGTGTTAGTCTTGTCGCCCACACGTTATTCGACACTGCGAGAGCCAAACGGTCTAGTTTATCTACAGAACACACAGATTTCGCCGCGGTCCGTTGCGTCTGGTCACCAATCTGTTCGTGTCCATGTTCCTGCGCTGTACGGTGAGACTGAAACGTGGATATAGAAGTGGTCGATTTGGCTCTGGGGGTTCTCAAACTCAAAGAATGGAGTCTCGTGCCCCGTCTGAAACCTTCGATCTTCTGCGAAGACTTGCGAATGAACCGCCAGATGGCGACGTTGCTGGCGAGGATGATGACGATAGACACGCCGATGGATCCGATCACAAGGAACAAGGTGTAGCTGAAGTTGAACGTCCTGTCGTAACCGCAGTAGTGGGTCTTGGTGTCGAAGTGGAACCGGCCCCAGCCGAGCAGGGGCGGCATGACGTACAGGCCCGCCACCAGCCAGATGAGAAAGCAGTAGATGACGGAGTGGAGATATTTCCTGGAGAATATCTTAGCGAACAGGTGTCGGTGACAGATGTTGAGATACCTAAGACGGCCTCAAGGGAGCGGTATAGCAATAAAATTTACAAGAGGGAAAAACAAAATAGTAATCATTGAAAAGTTTTACATTTCAAATTTAATAGAAAAATTATGATGATGCATATACAAAGAAATGAAGTCAGTCTAAATGTTTACACTTTAAAAGATTCGAACATGACTAGAACCATGACATGTTTTAAATCTCTGGTTTTGGATTTAAGATCAGAATAATTGACTATGCACGTGTGCAAAAAAAAAAGAAAATAGATAATAATTCATTCAACCGTTGCACGTTTGTCATATGATCTGATGTCTTAATTTCATGTCAGATGAACATTAGCGTTAAATGCAAACAATGACATTTGGTTGCCCCAGGATGAAATCACTTCAATAATGTTAACTTAACTATAAAAAAAAAAGTTAAACTTACCTAAATAATTTATCAAGAAAAAATTAAAAATAGACTTTATTTTTTACATTTATAAACTGATATGATATTTTTGTATGGGTAACATATGGGTACCCTATGATTGTTAAATTATTTTTAAAATTTCAAGTTAGTTTAAACCATACTAGTAAATATATATAAATGTATATTTATGTATACATATAACATGTATCCTACCTAAAAATGGGGAAAATAATAAAGAGTTGGCTCAGCGGCCCAAGACTTGCATACATAACACAGCGGGCACTGATGTTCGCCGCCGTTCGCCACTCACCTGTTGACGGAGATGAGCATGATGGTGAGCAGGGACGCCACGTAGGACACAACCACCACAAAGCCGTTGAAGGCGCAGTTGCCCTGTGTGAACACGGGATAATATCCCAGGAGCAGGCCGGCCACTGTCCACGACACGACGTATCCTAAAGAAACAACAGATATTGTTTTGCACGGGACACTCGAATTTAGTTAAGAGACAGGCCCAGGCCCAGGCCCAGGCCCAGGAGTTGCTAAACTCGAGGAGTCATTCGGTACGCAAATAGCCAACCCTATTGACAAATATTATCTAATTTTTATAACAAAATTTTGAGGATTGTTTGAAATAGTTGATGTAACATCTTTAAAATATTTTTTTTTGTAAATACCTTGGGGGAATAAATAAATTATTTGATCAAATTGAAGAAAATGTGTTAAAATGTATTATCATTCAAATGTATCATCATTAAACAAAATTAAAACATGACTAAATACATGAATAAATTAATAATTTTAAAAAAAAATTATTAAATATACAATTTCTTTAAAATCTACGCAACAATTTTTTGTTTAAATAAATATTGACGCAAAAAAGAAAAAGAAAAACTTGTGTCTGTGTGTGTGTGTGTGTGTGTGTAGTCCCACAAGTGGTTACGCTCTGATGACATCGTAAAATCTCATCAGCGAGCGCGGATGTAGTACTCTCTGTGCCATTAACATCCCATTATCTTGTCAGATAGCAATGAAAACATTAGAATATCATTGGATTGGTGACAATTTATTTCTAAATCTTCCAAGACGGCAAGCCATCCGCGCGTGACCTTATTACAGTGTGATGATTTATGACCGCCTCCCATCTCACGACTGGGCATCGGTTTAAAATTTTTTTTTAAAAATCATTTCATTAAATTTGCTTAAGTTGTTAGAATGATTAGTCTGTACTTAACCACTCTTCATGTTCTGAGAAGTCGATACTATTGGTAAATCAATTACGTCGACATACAATTTAATTTTTTTAAATTTTTTTTTTAAAAGTATATTAATACTTTTCGGGTGATAATCTGATCAGTTCCTTGATTGCTCAAGAAATTAAATGATTGGATTAGGGAAGACCTGGCAACAGATCAGAAAGAATTTTACCTCAAAAATAGTCTGGGGTTTTTGTGTGTGTTTTTTGTTGTTTTTTTTTACTTTACTCTCCCACCTAATGAAAGTTTAAGGAAAAAAAAAACCCAACCTATGACTCGAACTAAACTCCATAAGAGAATTTGATCACGATAAAGATTTTAAAAAAATAAAACTTTTCAGAAATCAATTCCTGTAATGGTATTAACCGTGCTTTGTATCTTCTTCTTTTTTTTTTTAAATATGAAAGCCACCACCCCCCTCCCGCCTCACCCCTTACCCCCATCCCTCCCCAGTCCCCTCCACCCCTGACACCCATGTCCCCCACACCCCCCAGCACCAGCAGTTGACCACCTACCGGTGATGACCAGGTCGGACAGCGCCAGGTTGACGATGAAGGCGTAGTGAGGGTTGTGCATGCGCCTGTTGGTGGCCACCGTCACGATCACGACCGCATTCCCCAGCACCCCCACGATGACGTAGACGACGCCGACGACGATGAAAGTCAGCCGGGCCAGCTCCGGTATCGGGTCGCCGACGTTGCGCGTGACCTGGGAGTCGGAACCGTTGTTACCCGCGGCGTCGGCCATGACGCTTCGGTTGGAATTTTTGGTCAAATCTCCGTTGACGTTGGAATTTTTGGTCAGACGTGCGTGTCAAGCTCTTCTACAATAACTATCAGAATATCCTAAATAATCGCTGCTTCAATTCATGTCTGATTTCCACATCAAAGATTTAATTATCATTATAATTTTTTACATATTTTTTTTTACATTTTTTTTTGGAAAGGTGTACAAAGTAAATTTAAACAACCCTTGAAACAAAGTCTTTCGTATAAATCCTTTCTATGCATTTCTAGATTCTTTTATTTTAATTCATTATATTCTAAATTCTCATCCGGCTTTTACACCGAACATTTATTTTACCAGGTATTTCAGTAAAACAAAAGAAAATTTTAAGCACCAAACTCACTTGCGATATATTCTTTTAAAGCGTGGGCCATTAGATTATTAATTTAGTTCAAAGCCGTGGAAATAATGTTTAGGTAGAGAGCCTTGAGTAAGGCGCGTTACTTGTGACGCATGTCGAGTCAACTTTTCAACCTCATCGCCATTGCTCGATATTGCATTTTATAAAAGGATTACGCGATAGAAGTTGTTTTTAGGTTGTGTTGTGTTTTTTTTTTAATTTATCCACAAGATTAGTCACAGGTTTCAATACTTTGATTTGAGCTTTTTAATGATTGCGCTAAGCCATTCGTATTTTAAAACCACTACATCGGCTTCTGTGTTCGTTTGAATGTTTGCATCTATCTTCCCCATCTTTATTTCTGACAGCACAGCGATGTTTTCTAAGCGATTTAAGCATGAATTTTTTCGAATTTAATTTTTTTTTTCCGCCTTGATCATTTTAATCGTATGCAAATCTCGCTTTCTTTAGGGCTACGTAAATTATTACATTTTACGACAAATCTCTCTCTCTCTCTCTCTCTCTCTCTCTCTATGTATATATATATATATATATATATATATATATATATATATATATATATATATGTATGTATTTTTATATATTTATATATATATATATATATATATATATATATATATGTATATGTTTATATGTATGTATGTATATATATATATATATGTATATATATATATATATATATATATGTATGTATGTATGTATATATGTATGTATGTATATATGTATGTATATATATATATATATCTTTATACTTATTTGCTATACACTGCATGAGTTCCAATCCACCAGTGCCACATACAGTTTGCTACCACTGGAATCTAGATCTGAATACGACCATTTCATTATCAATCCAATCTCTAACTACGCACCACATCCGTCCCCATTACAGTTCAGAACTGTTCACACTTTTTTTTTTTGAATATGGCACCGCGCACACACAAATCTTTCATTTAAAAGTGTTTGAAAATGCCGTTCCATTTGTTCAGAGAAATCTCGTCGTTGTTGTAGAGGAGAAGGGCCAGAGAAACCTTAGACCGTGTTACGACTGTGTTTAGACTGTGTTTAGACCGTGTTTAGACCGTGTTTAGACCGTGTTTAGACTGTGATACCATCTTTACTACGAACCATCGTATACTTTGGAAATAAAAGTACTCTTAAAGGATTCGTATTTTTGTTAAGCATGGATTTAAAAAAAAATGTATCAACATTTCTGACACCGCCTATGAGCTTTCCACGACACGCCTATGAACATATTGATTTTCCAAGTCTAAACTACGACCCCCCGAGCTTCCACGACACACCTATGAGTGAAACATCCACGACACACCCAAAGTATCTCCCATGACACAATATGAACTCTCCAAGATACGCTTGTGATTAACATCTTTCCCCAGTCACACCTGTGAACCAGCCTCGCGGCACACCAGTGGTGCTATGACGTAGACGAGTGAAGGTGACGCCATTTCACTCGCTCGACTGCGCACAGGAATCACTGGAACCAATTATTGTCTGGCGTGATGTTTTGCCCCCCTTTCCCCTCGCGTGATGTTGGCCCCCCCCCCCCCCGGGACAGCAAACTGGAACTCAGGGTGGGACACCCCCTTCCTCACCCTTAAACCATCTCCGGTACGTGACGTCATGAAAAGGTGAAGCGGCCTGGTCCGCGTGGACGAATCCAATTGTTTATTTAAAATATTATGTCAGTTTGACTTTAGTGCCTTCAACCTTTTGATGTTCCAAGTGGCTATTCGCACCCGGGTACCAGAAGTGAGAGGCTGGGATTAAAAAACTATTTAAAATATTATTGTTGGGTTTGTAAGACGAAATGAGGTATCAAATGAAAGCTAATTGAATGGACCACATGTTTGTAAATTTAATTCTTCAGTTTAACTAAAAGAAACTACCACAAATGACATCCGAATAGCATTTAGTCAAAATGGCCCCGGACACGCAGCGCCGCCATTCGCACCCGGGTCCCATTAGGCGAAGACGACCCCAATGGCCGGGAAGCCTTTTCTACTAGGTTGTGGACAAAGAGGATGACTTGCTCCACCGGGTGGCGCCCAAAAGTCATTCGGCAGCTCTGAGTGTCAACAGTCATGCTTGTGTGTCCTCCGAGACTCAAGACTTTGAGAACCGCGTGTTGGAAATTGTATTGTTTCGTTTTAAAATTATGTCGCGCCATTGAAGTTAAGAGTGAATGTGTTTGCCTTGATGGCATGTGCTTTCCATAAGGTAATGTGCTTACCATATTATGTACTTACCATTAGGTCATGTGCTTACCATGATGCCATGAGCTAAGCATAAGGTCATGTGCATATCATGTGGTCATGTGCTAATCATACGGGCATGTACTTATCATTAGATCATGTGCTTACCATCAGGTCATGTGCTTACCATGATGACATGTGCCGACCATAAGGCCATGTGCTTACCATGATGACCTGTGCTTACCGTAAGGTCATATTCTTACCATGATCCCATGTGCATACCATAAGGTGATGTTCTTACCGTGAGGTCATGTGCTTACAATAAGGTCATGTGCTTAACCGTGAGGTCATGTGCTTGCCATAAGGTCATATGCTTATGGTGAGGTCATGTGCTTATGGTGAGGTCATGTGCTTATGGTGAGGTCATGTGCTTATGGTGAGGTCATGTGCTTATGGTGAGGTCATGTGCTTATGGTGAGGTCATGTGCTTATGGTGAGGTCATGTGCTTATAATGAGGTCATGCGCAGTGGGTCATCGTTAATCTCCTATTCAGCCCTAATGTGTTTCGTTTAAAAAGGGTTTACTTAACCAGGGATTCACGCAACTCTTGATTGACGCCAGATGGTGGCAGCGCCATAAAATGCCGACAAGAGCCATCAAGTGCCGGCAAGAGCCATCAAGTGCCGGCAAGAGCCATCAAGTGCCGGCAAGAGCCATAAAATGCCGGCAAGAGCCATCAAGTGCCGGCAAGAGCCATCAAGTGCCGGCAAGAGCCATAAAATGCCGGCAAG